AGCGGCAGTGCCCGGCCTTGACCTGCCTCCCACTCACTCCTATTCCAGACCCGAGGACACAGGTCCCCACGGGTCATGTCCCCAGGCAGCTATGGACAGGCTGGAAGTTCTCCTCACAGACAGGCTGCCCCAGGACCTCTCAGAAACCCTCGGCGGGGAGGGCGCCGGAGGTCATCCTCCAGGGCTCGCGGTCACTGGGGCAGCTTGTGGAACACACAGCTTCCCAGGCCAGCTTGCCCCAAACTGCTGATTCATAATTGCAGGGGCCCAGGAATACAGGGCAGAGCAAATACAGGTTTACAGTCGTTCACGTGGAAAACAGCACAATATTAATAAATAACAATAGAAGAATAAACTCTCTGCTTTGATGACTCATGACTCTAAACCTACAATTGCCCACCCTGTACACCTAAGCACACCCTGGAAATTCTGATGTGGTGTGTTTGGGACCCTCCGATTCCTCACCTCTCAAACAGTACCGAATGGCTTCTGAAACACGTGGCGCTCCTGCTTCTGCCTGCGTAACTCCAGGGTTGGGGAGCTCAGTGCATCCTCAGGAGGGCAGGGAAGTAGAATGTGGGGCAGGTCTTATTTAGAAAGTTCTTCCTATGCAGACACAGAATTTGGCTCCTGGTAACCTGTTCCCATGCCTATCCTTGGGTTCTGAGCACAACAGATCCAAATCTATCAGGGCCCCTAGGGCTGGGGAAAGTGGAGGACGGGAAGGTAAGGGATACGGTGCAGGTGGCTGGGACGGCCAGAGAGAAGCTGAGAGCAGGGAGGCAGCCACTGGGGCTTCTCTGCCGTCACCCAAGGGAAAGTAAGGGGCTTCTCCTACTGGTTTCACCCTCAGATCATGGATGTTAGCCTGGTCCACGCCCTAGTTTAACAGCCATTGGAACTGAAGCCAGCAGAGGGACAGTGACAGTTCCAGAATCCCACCAACCAGCTGTTAGCACAGTCAGGACTACAGCCCAGGTGTCTTGACCTCTAGTCTCCCTCTTCCCACGATACAACACAGGAGCTCTACTGCTCACCTTGGCAAGATTCTGTTGAAACCCACCTCCTCCTCCAGGAAGCCTGCTGAGATTTCTCTGATCACTGGCAACCCCTCAGCACTGATGCACCACAGGATCTACAGTGCTCCCCTGTGTCTCTAGTGTGCATTCTCACTCTGTTCAAAACTGCAAGGCCCCTGCCACAAATCACGCTTCTCAAGGGCAGAAGCCTGGGGTTTCCAGGGTAACCTCAGTGCAAACAGGAGGCCCTGGCCTCAACTCCAGGCCAGGGGTCAGCAGGTCCTTTGCTGGTACCCAAGTTGGGGGCTGAGTCAGACAGTAAGTTCTAGCTCAGGTGACCACACCAGGCAAGGACTGGCCAGTGCCAAGCCATCTCAGGTCAGGAGTGGCCCAGCCTCCACCCAGCTGACACCATATCCCCACTGGCCACACTGAGCATCCTCGATCGAGTATCAGGCCAGCAAAGTGACCCAGGGATATTTACACGTGAGCAAGTAAACCATGCGGCCTTCGTCCAAGGACTGTGTGTCCTTGCAGCTGGCCCCTCTCGGTGCACCCTTTCCTCATCAGATGGGCACTTTATCCTGCCTTTCTTCTGTTTTTATTAGATAAGAGGGCTGTGTCCAGAGAGGTTAAGTGACATGTCCAAAGAAACCCAGCAATCTGGGAGCAGAGCCGGGGCTGAGCCGAAGGTCTCTTGCCGCTAGTTTGGCTCCCATCCTTGCCCATCCCTCTGGCCTCCCGTGTCTCCGTGCAGTGAGAGCCTGGCACAGGGCCAAGCCCACAGCAGACACTCAATAAATATTTGTTAAACAAATGAATGATGGAAGCGGCTCTCTCCTTGGAGGCAAAGGCCTTGGAGAATCCCAGGAGATTCCAACAGGGTGGTGTTGGAGGTCATACCTCCTGGCAAGGGAGAGAAGAAGGCTGGCCCCCGCCCAGGGCTGAGGAGGAGGACTGTGACCTCTTGTCCTCTTGCCATCGCTGCTGCCTGCTGCCCTGTGAGGGAAGGCAGGGGGCAGCCATGCCTGTCAGGATGGCAGCTGAGCAATGGGTCCAAGGCTCATTAACTCCGAGCCGTGCCCTTGGTTTCCGAGCCCGGGCCTGTAGTGCAGGCTGGCACGTAGAGACCCTTAATTAAATTAGGGAGGCTTCCAAATGAGAGGGGGCCCGGAGCCAAGCTGCAGTCCCAGGCACGCCGGCCACAGCTCAGGGCACCATACCCCATGCTGGGGGCCGTGGGCTCTCCCTGATTATATCCTGCCCCACCAGGGGCTGGGCGTGGGAGCCTCTGTTATGTCCCCACCTGCACACTTGTCCTCCCCTCCCTCTGTCTGGCATAAGCATAGGACCCTTGGCTCACAGCTGAGCAAGAAGGGCCAGAAACAGGAACTTGAGGGGCATGAAACAAGGTCTCCTCGTCCTTGAGGGAATCCGAGGCTGTGCTGGGAGTCAGGAGGCACATCTAAGCTGTGTGACGTTGGGCAAGTCACTCTACCACTCTGAGCCTCAGCTTTCTCATCTGTAAACGGAACAGATATTTTCTAAAGACTCTTCCAGTTTTCCTGATCCAACACAAAGGGGCTTGAACTGAAATGCCGCGGTGCCAACCTGCTTCCCTCCATCTCCCATCATCCCCACCTCAGCCCCTCGCTGCTGCCCCAACCAGAGCCCTGAAGTCAGGGCTGAGGGACGTCCAGTTGGAAGCTCTATACCCACCACCTTCAAGGTCTCTGAATCGCTAACTGTCAGCCCAGAAGACTGCCACCAGCCACTGGGGAGAGGGACAACAGGCAATGAGAATCCTGGTGCCGTGTGAGCCAGCAGCCAATTTATTAACGAACCGTTTGTAATGCGATAATTTGTACTTCTCAATTACCAGCAATGCCTGGTTTTACACGCATGCACTCATGCAAACACGCTCGGAGTACACAGACCACCCAAAGGAGCCAAGGGCCAGGGGGACAGCAGGCGATCACAGGACCAGGGCAAGTCCCTTCCTGGAACATCAGGAAGGCCTGGGGCTGCCAACCCACCTGCCCACAGCCCCCACTGGCTCTGACCAGAAGAAAAGAGGGCACAACGCCGGTCCCTCCTAACCTCTGTCTTGTCCCTGATTCCAGCTGGAGCTGTGGGGCTGGCCCTCTCTTAGGCATGAGACTCCCACCAACCCACTCTCTTAGACCAGCAGATGGGCCCATACCCTCAGAGGTGCCACCCTCAGAGGTGTTCAACCTGCCCAGGCAGATGCCGGAGCTGAGGTGTGGGCAGAAGAGGAAGGGTGGACATGCCCTTGCCCCAGCTGACTCTTCACCCCATTCCCAGCAGCAGGTCCCCAATGTGCCCCAAGTGTGACCCAGCGGCTCCTACCTCAGGGATGCGGACACTGTAGGGCTGATTGTGAAATGTGGGCGCATTGTCATTCACGTCCCCGACCTGGATGTTCACCTTCCGCGTGATCACCTGGCAAGAGAAGGGAGGGAGGTCAGTGTTGGCTTTGACCTCTAGCTTCTTTCCACCCAAGGAGCCCAGAACAATCCTCTCAGGGCAGCAGGGGCTTCCGGGGATACTCACCCCCTGGTGGTCACTGACAGAGAACTCCACCGTGAACTCAGATTTGGTCTGAAAGAAAGGAAAGGGAGGGGGAGGGGAGTTAGAAAGGTGTGCTGAGCTCCTGAGCCCTGGTGGGACTGGTCTGGGACTGGGTACCCAAAGGCTTCCCTAAAAAACAAGCATTGCCCCTTGGGTTGGGGAAGTAGGTTCAGAATAGGGATTCTTCCCACAAAAGAGCAACAGACTGGAAGTCAAGAGTCGGGTTCTAATGTGGACTCTGCCTTTTAATTGCTGTGTGATCTTGAACAAGTCACTAGACACTTCTGTGGCCACTTCCTCAAATGTAAGGAGAAAGGGGGCTGGGGGTTTTGTCCAAGCTCTTACCTTAATTTGCTAAGGGCTACAGAGTCATCCACTTCTGCGTCCTTTAGGGGGACATTTGTTGGGGCAGGAGTAGACTTATATACCCCATGGAGCCCCCATTCTACAGGGGATGAACCCAGGATCACTGTCCCTCTTGCCTACCCAATGTTGCCCTTCACTTGGAGACACCCCCAACCCCATTCCAACCCCAAGTCCAGACATCAGCGCTGCCCCTTGAAGAGGGACCCCATTCAGGCAGGAAGATGCTGCTTCAGGGTCAGGATGGGGCCTCAGAGGAACACCCCTAAGAGGTGATGACCCATCCTCCCCCAGGGTCTGTTCCTGCCCTCCAGGACAGGCCTGAGGCAGGGGTCTGGGCAGGGCATACCTCTCTGTCCAGTGGCTGCCGGAGCCACACCACTCCTGTGTCAGGCTCCACAGCAAAGAAGCGGGAGGCCTCCTCACCAGACACGCCAAACACCAGCGGGTCATTGTCCATGTCTCGGGCCAGCAACTGGGTCACAGAGGAACCTGGAGTGTCCAAGGGAGAAAGCAGAAGGCACAAAGAGGAGGTCAGTCCGTTCCTCACACCTTGCTCAGGTCGCTGAATCCCAGTAGGAGCAGCCGCCCAAGAGATCCCCGGCAGGACACTGACTACTGCAAGCCGTCATGTGTCCTGGGCTCTGACCCAGGCTCCCCTGGCCACAGGTCACAGTGTGTACATGCCTATAACAGGAAAACAGCATTTGCCATGTTCTGGGTGTGTCACGGAAAGCTGTGACTTCTGCCTGCCCCCCTCCCTTCTAATTTTAATTTGGAGGCTCCCTTCTCCAAGTGGCTCAGATGAGAACAGGGGCCCAAATTCCCTATTCTAATGTGCCAAGATGGGCACATAACTCAGCCCTAGCCAATCAGAGCATTCCATCTTCCTGGTCACAATGATTGGCTCAGGGATAAGCATGTGACCCCAGCTAGCCAATCAAAGCTAACCCTGGGACTTGTGCTGGAACTACTGAGAAAGAGGAGCTTTCCTGCCACTGGGGTTGCTAAAGTGGCCCTGCTGGCAGCCGTCTTTGGCACCACACAGGAAGAGCCTACTTGAGAAAAAGGCCAACAAGGAGGAAAACAGAGGCAAATTGTGCATGGAGAGAGATTCCTGATGGTGCGAGGGTCTCAGCCAGCGGTGCCTGATATTAGCTCCATCCTTGGGACTTCTCAGCTATATGAACTAATAAATCCCCTCTCCCCGAGCACACACACACCTTTTTTTTTTTTGAGGGTCTCAGCCAGCGGTGCCTGATATTAGCTCATCCTTGGGACTTCTCAGCTGTATGAACTAATAACTCCCCTCTCCCCGAGCACACACACACCTTTTTTTTTTTCTGCCTGAGTCAATTGAGCTGGATTTTAGTCTTTTGCAAATGGAAGCAACCTTTCTAATTCAGGATATTTTGCAAAACCTGCCATTCATTCGACAGTGACTAGGTGCTGGCCTGTGGTAAGCACTGGATACACAGAGGTTAGTTCCCAGCCTCCAGGAACTCCTGTCTAGCACTGGGTGGCAAGATCTAGTTCTTGTTCCCAAGAAAAGGATCGAGTGTCACCCTTCACCAGGAAACGAAGCCTGAGCCAGAGTTCACTGTGAGCACCAGGATCCTGGCCTACAGGCTGCCTAAGCAGTCCCAGTGCAAGGTATCATCTCCGGGGGTTACAGCCCCTTCCCCCACCCCCAACGGGCAGCCTTCGATAGGCTGAGCCACCACCCTGGTGTGTCCAGGACGGAGGCAGAGCACATACTAAACCCAGGAGGTCCCAAGCAACTGGATCATCTGGTCATCTTAGCTTCAGGAGGTCCGCATACCTCCAGGAAGCATGCAAACTGTTAGGAGTCTGCAGAACGACAGTGTCATTTCGTGCAGAGACGGTCTATAGCAGCGGTTCTCAACCTGTGGGTCGCGACCCCTTTGGGGGTCGAACGACCCTTTCACAGGGGTCACCTAAGACCATCGGAAAACACATATATAATTACATATTGTTTTTGTGATTAATCACTATGCTTTAATTATGTTCAATTTGTAACAATGAAAATACATCCTGCATATCAGATATTTACATTACAATTCATAACAGTAGCAAAATTACAGTTATGAAGTAGCAACGAAAATAATTTTATGGTTGGGGGTCACCACAACATGAGGAACTGTATTAAAAGGTTGCGGCATTAAGAAGATTGAGAACCACTGGTCTATAGTCTTCATCTGACTCTCAAAGGACTGATTAAATTAGAACCATGGCCTTGGGCAAATCATTTCTTTCAAAGTTTCAGTTTACCCTATAAAATGGGATAGACACTTTCCTGCAAATACTGACTCTCATATTTATTGAGTAGCTGATGATCAAGCTAAAAAGTAAGGAGGGATTCCAAACTCTGGGAATGTTATCTAGAAAAGAACACGAATGAGCTTTTCTAGGCGAACTTTGAAAAGGACAGTTCCAACATGACAATGATAGCTAACATTTCTGAACACTAACCATACTCCAGACACTGGGCTAAAGGATTTCCGTGTACTATATAATTCAGACCTTACTATTACTCTCCCCATTTAACTGGTAAGGTAACAAGGAGTAATTAAGTAATTTACAACAACCACAAAGTTACGAACGGCAGAGCTGGAATCAAAGCCTGGGCACTCAGGCCGAGTCCACATTTGTTACCACAACTTTACACTTCACAACACTAGGTCTGTGAACTGAAGATTCAGGACTTCCAGACGTGACCCTATCAGACCCCTCACTCAGGGGTGGGGAGCACCCAGCCTATGGGCCATATAAGGCCCTCGAAATCATTTGCTCTGGCCCTACCAAGGCAACTACAGGCGGGACTCAAAGTTCAACAAATCTAGAAGCTTTTTTTCATAGCAACATAAATTTATATTAAGTGAATTACATTAAGCAAATGATGTTATAAATATCCATATGGTCCTTGGCAGAAAAAAGGTTCCCCACCCCTGCCTTAACTGGAAGCCCAGCACTTGAAAAAAGAAGATATGGGGCAACCATTGGACTGTCATGATATGCCAGACACAGTGCCAGGCCCATTCACAATTCCTCCCAGCAGCTCTGTTTGGTAGTCATCACTATACCCATTCTACAGATTAGGAACTTGAGGCCCAGAGAGGCAAAACCGTCTCTCCATGGTCACATAGCAGGGCAGGACATGGCAGCATCCAAGGTGATGTCAGGAGGTGAGAAGCAGGTGATGCTGGGAGGAGGTGAGAAGTGGGAGAAGGAGGAATGAAATCAGGGAACAGAGTTGAAACAACCTGAGAGACTTTTGGGGGAACCCAATCTTCCCATTTTAAAGATGGAGTAGCTAAATGTATTTAGCAGTTTTCCTAAAGTACGATGATGAGCAACAGAGTCAGGACCCAAACCCAAGTTTCCAGACTTTCAGACTCCTGGTACAGTGGCTCTTTCTAGATGAGGAAGGAGCGGGTATGTGAAGTCACAGAGAAACCAAGCACATCTTCCCAAAGCATCTGTGCTGCTCGGTGACAAGCAGCTATTTTACACTAAAGCAAACGGGAATATATTGGGAACACAATGTGACACTTAATTTATTTCTAAAGACACAACCTAAAACTGAAAAAGACTTTTCAATCTCCCCCAGACTTCCAGGGATACACATTTCCTCTTCATCACCCTCAAGGGTCCTTCAGTGGCAAAGTTTGTGGAACACTGAGTTACTTCCCGATGCCTTGGGGAAATCTACATGAGGAAACTGAGGCCCATTAGGGCCCTGCTTATCCACAGTACACAACCAAGCCATGGCTGCCCCCTTGGACTAAACACCTCACCTGCCAACCTCCTTCAGGGCTCAGCCCAGGAGGTGTATGGCACCAAGCTCCGGCCAGCCAATGGGGTTCTGGGAAAGCCACACTGGCCCTCCAGCCAAGATCGCACTACTCGGCCCAATACCCCAAATGGCTCTCTGAGGCCCGAAGCTCAGGCCCTCCCAAGAAAGGGGGGTGGGGGACTGGGCAGGACAGATATGGGGCCATCAGCTGCTGTCACCCACCCTGTAATTTCCTGGACTTTTATCCATTTTCCCCTCAATTATGTGCTGCTCAAAATGGTCCTTTTCAGTTTCTCCACAGCTCGTGCCTGCTCACGCCTTCTTTGTGTCCCAGGTAATTACTAGTGACCTTTTCTAAGTGTACTAATTAAAGGTACCGATTTAATATTATATTTAAGACAAGACGCCCTGCAATTTTCCAGCTGGGCACATCTCCCCTGCCAGCGCTGTTCTGCCACTCTGCAGACGCTGGGCATAGCTCTGTCTCCAGGACGGAGGCCTTGTTTCCACCAGGGCAGCTTCCAGCAACCTCTGTTGTACCATTCCTACAGAAACGAGGCCAAGATGAGGGGCCCAACTGCAGCCCAAGGCACAGAGAAGCAGCCACTCCGGAGACCCCTCCCTGACCATGTGACCTGGAGTACATATGCCACTCTGGGGTTGTTTCCCACTTGAGAAACAGGCAGTGTACCCTGCAACCCAGGCTGGGCAGCGCCTAGAGTTCGTTTGTTCCTTCCTTTCTTGTTGTGGTAAAATACATATAAATGTAGCATTTAAGTCATGTAAACTGTATAATTCACAATGTGTTTCCAGAATATTTTCATCAGCCCAAAAGGAAACCCCCTACCCATTAAGCAGACACTCCCCCATCCTCCTCGCCTAGCCCGTGGCAACCACTAACCCTCTGTCTGCCTATGGATCAGCCTGGTTTGGATATTTTGAATCATATGTGGTCTTTGTGTCCGGCTTCTTTCACTCAGCATATGTTTCCAAGGTTCATCCATGTTGTAGCATGTATGAGTACTTGCTCCCTTTTCATGGCTCTATGGATATACCACATTTTGTTTATCCCTTCATCAGCGGATGGACATTCGGGCTGTTTCCACCTTTTGGGTATTGTGCACAGTGCTGCTATAAACATCTGTGGACGAGGTTTTATTGGAACACTTGCTGTCAGTTCTTTTGGGTATCAACCTGGGAGTGGAATTGCAGAGTTTTATGGTAATTCTACATTTAACTTATTGAGAAACCACCAAATTGTTTTCCACAGCAGTTGCCCCATTTACATTTCTACCAGTAATAGATGAGGCCGTATGAGGATAATCAGCGATTTGCAGGGGCACGGTGCCCCCTGCATGGGGAGAGATGGGAGCTGGACAGCACCGCAGAGCGGGTGCTGTTGGCACCACGCCCATCATGCCTTGCATAACCATGATCACACACACCTGCCCAATCTCCCACTGCCGGCCTGGGGCTCTCACCATCGCAACTGCCCCACGCATCCACAGGACAGACCAGAAATACCAGGGAACTATCCCTGGGGGCAGCACTTAAGGAATGACTGACGAAGACTGTGGATAAACGCCCCCCCCACTCCCTCACCTCTCAGGGGTTGGCTCAGAGGGGGCCTGCGGCTCTCACCATCACAACTGCTCCACGCATCCACAGGACAGAC